AAGCCCTCCCTGCTGACTGCACATTAGTGTCCAGCAGATCAACAAACCACCCTAGAGCAAATCTTCTGCTTTTGGTGAGATGATGTAGTGGTAAAACTTGACCAAGAGTATCTGCATTTTCTGTAGCAGCTCATCAACAGCATTTATCATTGAGTTAATTTATTATCAAGCCAATTTACAGAGAGCCACACAGCTGGGCAGTGAGAGCCATGAATAGAACAAATATTCTGTTCTCCACTGCTATGTGCTCTTGAGACCCTGTCTCAAATTTAACACCTGCTAATTGTGCTTTTGCATCCAAACAGCTCAGAAGATTGAAAATAATAGAAGCTAAAAACCCATCAAATATCAAGAATATGACTCTAACCCTGCTCATTCAAATTTAAGAGAGCTTCAATAAAACCTAAATCGCTCAAGTATATTTTGTACAGTCAGAACAAGAGACTTCTGGTTGTTTTTTACCTTTATTAAGTTTTGGAACTTCTTATTGCTTTGGAGCAGGTCTTTATAGTGACTAACAGCTTCATTGTGCCCACAACAGAAGACACCGTATTTTTCTTTCATTCTCTCTCCATTTTCACCTGAAAACTAATTGAAAATATAAGAAGGAAAGACATGAATCATTAAGAGTAAATCCACCTCTACGGCAGGACCCAGGTTTAACACGGTTTTATGGTAACTGACTTCTGAGACATTTCTTCAATACTCCAATTTCTTCTCTACCAGAAACACGAGATTTATGCAGTGTGATGTGTGAGTGCATGGAATGCCACAGGATAACCAAGTACTAGATGATGCTGGCCATGATGAGACTTTTTAAAAGGATTTCTGGGCCTCTGCACTTAAAAAGACTGAGGACTGTAAAAGGTGAAGACCCAACACCAGTTACAATAAATGAAGGAAATTGTTGAGTCAACTCCATACCAGAATGGGCACTAAAGCTGAAATGAGTTCCAAAGATCTTTCCTGCATTCTTAAAAGGTCAGAACCAAGAAGCTTGGCATTAAATGCAGGAGAGCCACATTTGGGATGGACACCAGAAATGTGTTACTTTGCTTTTGGAAGAGATGAAAACCAGAACCAAACCATCTAGAGCTGCATATCCCTCAAGATGCCCAAAGAACATTTAATGAGCATTTCCTGCTTCTTGGGACCGGATATGTTCCTGGGAGTCATGCTCACACGTTACACTGGGAAGAGAATCTTAAGCCTAGTATTAAATTAATCTTTACATAACATAACCTAATCTTACAGTTAGGATTTTAGAAATTTAAGTGTCAACAACACTGGTAGATTTTGATCCACACCTGCTTTACCAAGAGGTCTCCAATGTTCTGGATTACGTAATTCCGCTCACTGCCTTCTTCCAAGGATTCCTTCCGTCGCTCCTTCAGCTGGAGCAGAAATTGCCCGTGCATCTCCAGCAGCTCATCCACACAGGGGAAGAGCTTGTTGATGACAGCATTTGGGAACTGCAGCTCCTCTCTCATGGCTCTGGAGTACACCTTCAGCATTATTTTCAGTGTCCTAACATGGTGCATTTCAGTTTGCATTAATTCTGGGCAAGAGGAAATAAAAAAGTATCCAAAGTCATTTCTGTGCTGTGCAGTGATTAGTGAGATAGAAAAGAGCAGGCTCCAACAGCCACCATCTTTTGCACCACCTTCTTCTTTGCCACAATCTTTGCATCACTGATGTGGTGCTCTTAAATTTGCCTTGTTAATCTCCCAGGCAAACAATGGCTGACCCTACATTTAACCACATCTCCCAGTTACAGTTGAGCCGTTCCTTAATTGTATAGCTGGGCTTTGCTGCTTACACAGGCATACTGAAAACTATGGGTTGCTTAAAATCATTAACAGGGAGACTTGTGCACACTAAGACAGGACACAGACTTGAAAATCTTCTCTCAATTTTAGTTTACAAGCACAAGTCAAAATTAGAGCCAACAAAAATTATTTCTGCTTTGTTTCAAAAACAGTGGGACTACAAAATAGAAAAAGTGATAAGAATAACAAATACTCTTACCATAAATGACATCTTGCCTTTTTATAATGTCTTTCTTTTGCTTTTTTACATAAGACTGTTCCACTGCAACACTCCAAGACTCTGCCTCAAACTCATGAGCATCTGTTTCTATTTCACTTCGGAGGGATACAGAATATGCATCTAGACCAAAAGCACATTCAATTATTATTAAATTGTTTCCCACCAAATCCCTCATTACCATCATTAAAAAACAACAGCAAAACCATCTCAGTGCTGCTTTAAGACCGTGTAAGAAATGGCATAAAACTCCTGAAAAGCACAGAATTTCCATACCTTCCAGAAAAATGGAGTCTGCTGTTGAAGGTGCAAGTGAGACAACATCATCTGAAGTCTGCTTAAATTTTACAAAGCCTGAATCCCCTTCATCCATGTCTCCTGAAATTAACCTAAATGGCCAAAGAAATTAGACCAAGGGACCAAAACAGAACATTAACATTTTTTCAAATTGCTTGACCAAAAAAACCACCACCAAACTACTTTAACAAGCATCTTTCCTAAACTATAGTGCAATTAATCTAAAATAAATATATAAAAGCTATCATTGCACTCCAACTTTAAACAGTCAGATCAGTTTAGCAACTCCACCACTGAAATGTAACAGGTTTAATTAGAGCAGCATGAGGGAGTGTGTAACTTCTGGTAGGACATTTTAAAAAGACATCACCTGGTGACAAGCCACAGCCAGTCCAGAGTACAAAGGGGATGGTCACTGAGAAAGGAGCATAACTGTGGCACAGCTACTTACACCAGCAGATAGCTTTGAATTTGGCTACTATTTTAAGCCAGGTATCCTGCAATTTAAAATACTGCTGTCTCCTATACTAGTCAGGACTAGCATAACCTAGAATAACTGGACTCAGAAGAGAGGACTGAATTTCAGCAAGTCTGAAGACAAAGATACCCATGAAAACCATAATCTAGACAGAGATATTCAAATACTGCCCTGTTTTAGATTACATCTTTGAGGACACAGTACAAAGAGACTAAAGGCAAGGTGATATAAACAACAAAAACCAGCTTACTGTTCAGGGAAATTAATTTCAGCATTTAAAGCTCGATAAATCTCTTTTGAGTTTGAAAGCCTAAGTCAGTTCTTGCTTTAGTTCTGTAACTGCTTTTTTCTTTTCACACCGAGGAGGTGGGGGGGTGCAGCAGAAGCAAGTGAATTAGAAAAGAAGCCGTTTACTCACCCAAATTTATTCACGGCTCCAGCAGTATTCAGTGAAGACTGAGAAGTTCCCCTTTGGGCGATAGTCATACCGAGATTCCGGGAGAGTACTGGGGTGCCATCCGGTCCCAGGAGGAGACTTCGGGGTTGCTCCTTCAAAGAAGCAGCTAGAGAGGCAAAAATTGAATTGGTGCTGAGAAAATGAGGCGGACACTGCAGGTCCCCTGCTCGCAGACCTCTCTCCGAGTGCGGACGGAGAACCGACAGGATCTTGGATGTCAAGAGCTCGTTGTCCAAAAAAACATTCTCATTCCACTTTCTTGAAAAGGAACCACAAAAAGACAGCTCAGGGTGAGCTGGAATTGCATTGCTTCTGCCGCTGCTTTTTGAATTTGTATTCCCCATGCTCACCACCGGCTGCCCTCAGACCTGGCACAGTAAAGTGGCCCCAGAGATGCACTGTTTTTATACTACCTGTGATCCTTCTAGAAATGTAAAGCTGCCACTTAACTTACTGTATTGGCTAAATCAGCAGGTCTGAAGTGCAGGAAATTGGTCCCTACTGTGCCCATTTAGTGTGGAAATTGCAAAGTATCTTCTCCTTTAGTAAAACACCAGAACCTACACACAATTATTCACACCCTACCGTATAAGGGCAGAGAACATTTCATGGCAAACAAGAAAAATCTGAGAGCACACAAACCCCACAAGTTCTTTGTGGTGCTTATTGCTCCAGAGTGATTTATATCTGCATGTGCACATGCTGAACGTAATAGGTACCAGAGCTAAATTTAATTTTAATACTGCAGGTTTTTAATGCTTTTTAAATCTAGGCAGACTGTGAACTGGAAAGGTATTTAAAACTTTAATCACTATTACACAATATGTGGAAGCCTGTAATAGACTTATAAAAAATGGATACAATTATTTAGCACTAATGTCTGTAACGAATGATAAGGAACAGGAGACAAAATACATCCTTTTAAAAAAGGAACTTCAGGGACATCACAGATGAAGAATCAGCCAGGCAATCTTTAGAACACCACTGACAAGGTCTGCAGCTGCCCTTTAGCCAAAGTGCTTCTGAGGACATGGGAGTGGGAGAGATCTCCTGGATCCCTGAACCCAGGACTCTGCCACTGCCAGCAGGCTTTGTCTCACCCCCAGCCCAAACTCCTCTCCCAATACTGTGTCTGGGAGGCTGCTCAGGACCAGGCTGCTGCAGCAGCTCAAGAGGGTCTCCAGTGCCCAGACAAGGTTTACACATGACCAATGTACAGCTTTTCTTGTAAAAACACTGGTGTCTACACATCCCCAGAAATTCCCCCTTCTTAGTCTCCACTCCTCAGGGTACTTCCACCAACAATTCTCTCCCTCCACTTCTGCTTTGCTCAAGGAAACGCAACAAATCAAAGTATTCATGTTTCCTCTTATGAAACAGGTTTTTCCACATTTCTTGATATCTCATACTCTATGTCTAGTTGTCTCTCATTTCCTCTCCTTGCAACAGTGGGCTGGAGTTGCATTATGGCTGCAGGGGAGGTTCCATCACTGGCATTTAATGGAAGCTGTATCACCACACTTTTTCCTGCTGGAAACACCTTTCCCAAACCCTGTTTAGGTTTGAAATCTCCTGGCTACACACAGAACTCATTCTCAGTCTACAATAAACTAGGTAAACTGCGTCCTCTTCCACCATCTCCAAATGATGAGCTCCAAACCCCTTGTCCTAAAAGAGGAGACTAAGGAGATTGTAGCAAGATTTGTAAAGGTGGATTTCTTAAACAAAGGCTTAATAATACATGTCCTCCCATTTCCACTGGGGGAAGTATTGAAATCACATGCTACCAAGTTCTCTTTCTGTGCCTCACCAGCAGAGAACATGAAGTTCTGTTTCACCATGGTAGGCCAAATCTAAAATCCTCGAGGCAAAACATGGGGAGAGGGATGGGGGAGACAAACACCACCACCTACACCTCTCTCAAAATGTATTTCCCTTTCACACCGATACAACACCTTTGGCTTTTTTTGGACTCTGCAGTGTTATACTGTGGGTAAAGTCATACAATGCCCATGCTATTAGTCATTCCTTTAACTTGAAGCTTCTGCTTTTGACTATGGAAAATAAGTCCTGGCTGCCTAGCAGAGCCTGCCCCAACAAAAAGCCATTTTCTGAGTTCAATTAGCACTGTCTGCACACTGCTGAGAGTCGGTATCGATCGCTGTTCACCTATCACCCAGACCAGACTGTATACCACAGAGCTGTTCCAACCACAAGCCCTACAGCCAACTTTTCCTATTTTCATTATTCCTTACTGTTTCCTATTTTAGCCTCTGCATTTTCTCCTAAGTGCACAAAACCATTCTCAGTAACACGAACAGCCACTTACCTTCTTGTAACAATTATTCCCTTTGCATTACCTCTTAGTAAGCACCATTTCATACAAAAGGGCACCTTGCAATGCAAGTCAAGTGACACTCAACAAAAACACATGAAACACACGTAGTAAAACTTGGACTTTCATGTCAGCTCTGCTTCTTACAGCCACAGAAGCAAGGCAGAAAATAATTCTGCTCATGTTACAGGCAATCACCTGAGAGCCAAGAAACCTGTTCTGTTAATGCAGACCTCGTAATGGCTACACATTAAAATGCCATTTAAATTATACACCTATGACCGTGATGGTCTTTTCCAGTAGCAAAAATCTATTTCCAAGCCCATGCTGCAACAGAGCTGTTCTTTCTGCTTGGCTTTTTTTTTTTTTTCCTCTCCCAGATCCTTTTTCCCACTTTGTTTCAACAAAGATTTATGTTCAGACCATTAGTGCTAGCTTGTCTTAGAGATTTCTAGCAACCACTAGCTGCAGGCAAGTTTTAAATAGACAATTATGAAAATCTGATGTAAAACAAAGTTCACAGTTCTAGTCTTTTCAGAGGCCAGAGAATAGACAATCAATGAAAAACTAGCTTATTGATCCCTTTTCACCATGATATTTTGAGGTTACACAGCAAGAAGGTATAAAGAAAAATAAAAAGATAAAAAGATAAAAACACACAGGAGATTGCTAGGAGCCTCTAAGCCATTCCCAATAGAAAAAAAAATGAAGCCATCTTATTAAAAGAGACCTTTTCTATACTTCAATAACACACTGTGTATAGCCTTTAAAACATATTAAAGAAAAAAATACAATCGAACAGATAAGCCTTGAGCACAGAAATCATTCTTTAGTACAAACCTGGGGAAATGCACTGGGGCGAACTTTGTGGAGATCCAGAAGGTCTGTGCTGCAAATCTTTCTGCTACAGGAAAAAATACAATATTCTTACACATACAGACCAAACTTTCAGTTCAAAATGAATCATATTTTTCCTATGGTATAGCACTCACTGTAAGTGAAGCTGTACACTGGATGTATAAAAGATTTCACACTGTAACAGTTTTGCTTTTTCACATTCCAGAAGAATGGGATATAGACATTAACACTTTGTATAAAAATCCCATCAAGCATAAATTTGGTTGAAATAGAACCAAAAATGAAGTTACAGCTGAATTAAAGCCAAGATAATAAATAATGTATTAAACAAAAGCACACCCTTTATACAGACAGTCTTCACCTAACACTTCGTTGCCCTTTAGTTGACAGCCATACTAACTGAACTAACCCAGCCAATTTCCACAAAAATTTAGACTGCCCATTTAAAATTGCATCTTTGTTAACCTGCACGACTTTCTGGTTCTAGGATATCACAATTCATTGAGATACAATTTACTGAAGATGCAAAGAAATTAAATAAGTGATACAGCCTGTAAGAAATAGCTTTTGGGGAATCTGGCTTCACTTTGAGGATCTCATCTCTGAATTCACTCCTCGTACCATTTTGTGCCCCCGCTCCCTCTTTTCTCTCCTCAGGGGTGGTTTGTTTGGGCTGATTCAACCATGACAGTTTTGGTAAAGAGTGGAAATGAAAGCATCAGAGCAAGTGAATTTTGTTGGTTTAAAAGGAAAATGCACAATGCCTTGAGATGTTCAACAGTCTGTATCAAAACCCCTACAAGAACATTTCTGCCCTCCAAAGAGTTCCATTCTAAACCACCAATGGCTGAAAGCTCTTCCTCTAACTGCCCAGGTTTGAGCTGTTCTGCTCTCACTCTTCCCCTCCTCACAGCACTCCTAGTCTGCTATCAGACCCTGAAATCATCAACACTTGCAGGTTAAAATAAACTAGAATTCCCTCAAGTTCATAAAGTTATAAAGAGGAGGAAATTATTTCTAAACTGACACCAGAATAAAAGACTGACAGACAGACAGCCATCTGAGAACAACCTCTGACCTCTCAGGCAACCACAGGCACCAGTGACAGATAAAAAATGAACAGCACAGCAAGAGATAAAGTTCATCACAGTTCAAAAATTAAATTACTTATTCTGTGTTGCTCAGCTTATAAATAATATGCAACTGTTATAAGCAAATTCCACTCCACGCCTCACACTCTTCTGTCTGCTTTGGGATGGCACAAGCTGATAAAATAGAGTGGTGTAAAATTCAGAGGTATGACATAATTCAAGTGTGTTCCAAAAAAAAGTGATGGGTTTGAGCCTTCTTATAAGGGTGAGGCTCAGTTCAGCCAGACACAAGCAATAGTCAGTAGTTTTCAGTGCAGCAATCAAACGTTTCACTTTAGTTGCCCTACATACATTGTCATTAATGACTGTAATGACAAGTTAATAACTACTTGATGTCTTGAGGATGTAGGGCAAGCCTCTGTACTGATGTAAATTAAAACACTTGCACTAAATTAAACTCATTATGTCAAGCACTGTTATTACAAAATTAGAACAAATTTTAAAGCCCACCTTGGGTCTGCTGCTGCTGCATTCAGCCAGTAAACTCTTGCAGTTCTTATGGACGTTCACTGCACAATCTGAAATGTAAAAAGACTGAAATGATTCTTGTCAATCCTGCCTCAGGAAAGCAAGAGTGACACACAAAAGAGCTTAATTTTGGAAGAGATGCAGAGCAAGCTCAGGTGTTTCAGCGAGCATCCCTGTGCATGTTCTGGTCTTGATTTTACACCAAATACTCCAGCAATTTGTTGCAGAGGAAGAGCTGCCCTTCTGCAGAGCTTTAGCAGGAGCTGAAGGAACTACAGTAAAGGTCAAAATGCCCCAAAGAACCATCAGAGTATCACCTCCAGCAGAGCAGGACCACTCTTCTGCCTTCACAGAGGAACTACTGACAGATAATGGAACTAAAGCTGCCCTCTCTTATCCAAAAGGCTCATTAACAGTATAGCAAAATCCAATCTCCTTTTTTCCCCTGTAACAACCACTGCTTGGGAAAGCAGGATTACACCTGGTAGTGTCAAGTATTTTCTGCCTATCTATAAAATAAGAACCTTCAGGACAGGAGGAGGACACCAGCAACAAAAGACAGTAAAGGAAATCAGGATTTATTCCTTCCTACATATTCCAGGCATGCCTGTTAAAAGAGAAACAGCACAAAACTGGGCAAATGAACACGGGCTCTGCTAGGGAAAAGCCTGTTTGTGTTTAAAGCACAGAGGAAAAACTGTTTAAGGTCTCTTCACCCAAACAGAAATATCACCCGTGCCTGGCGCCAAGACTGGTGATCTGCTGTCAGAAATGCTCACTTAGAAGTGTTTTCCATAAATACAGCAAAACTCTGAGAACAGGAGCAAAATGCTCACTTGGCCTTAAACTTAAATTAATAAAGATACAAAAGCAAGGCTGAAAGACTGAGCACACAGACCCAAAGATGTTCACATGTTATGCAGCTTCCACAAACGTGGGCAGTAAGAGCAGAATATTGCACTTGGAGTGCCTGCCAAACAAACAAAAAAATCCACAAAACCTATCAGCTCCCATGACTTCTCTTATTTGTGATATTTCTACCAATACTGCACTTCAGGCAAGAGAACAAAAGGCACTATACCTCATTTCAAATGTACATATATGAGAAAAACATTACAAAGTTTTAGAACATGAATAATTTTGATGAGAATAAGAAATTTCAGCACTGATAAGGCCTCAAAAATCCACAAAACCTATCAGCTCCCATGACTTCTCTTATTTGTGATATTTCTACCAATACTGCACTTCAGGCAAGAGAACAAAAGGCACTATACCTCATTTCAAATGTACATATATGAGAAAAACACATCAAAATTATTCACGTTCTAAAACTTTGTAGAGAATAAGAAATTTCAGCACTGGTAAGGCCTCCACCAGAAAATGAAAAGCTTGTTACAAGGCAGGCCACAACAACAAACAACTAGTTGACAATGGAAACCTCTGTCCTCCCGAGATAAAGGAGCAAACTGTAGGACAAAAATCACAAAAAGGAAATAGAAAAAATTCTCCCTGATGTCAAGCTGGGCTGGCTTCAAGTGGAGCTTCCAGAGGGGTTCCCTTCAGGGCAGGATGGGCTCACCACAGGAGGGAGGTAGCCACACAGCCACTGCCCTCCACTCCTCCCCAAATCCACTCCACTCACCTACACACACTTCACCAGACTTCAACTAGACATTCATATTCCACGACATTTACACATCTTCAGTGATTATGTTTGATAATTCTATTCCTATTAATGACTGGTAGGACCAATTCCACTTCAAAAGCTTGGGTACTGTGTTAAGCTAACTGTAAGAGAGATATCAACTTAAAAATGTATTTCAATTTCAAATCATGCACTTGCTCTGTTAAAGATAACAGCTTCTATCACTCTCAGTAGGTATTTTTCACTTAATCAGCTGACATATCTAATAGTGCTGTGTATTAGTTTCCTATGCTGCTGAAAGACTCTTTACACAACAGGAGAGAACATACTAGAAAACAGGAAAATGCTACAGAAAAGCCTCAGAAAACAGCAGCTGAAGCCAAGGACTTGATTCTCTAAGAGACTATCTGAAATGAAATTAACTCCATGATTTCCAAGGGGCATTATTTTTGCCCATTTAAGAGAAAAGAATTTTGAAAACTGATGGAGGAATCAGACTGATTTATAACCATATTTCATTTTCTAAAATACTCTCCAGCTTTTCCTATTCAACACACCTTTGCAGGCAGTGCTGAACCAAGCACACTTCAATTAAGGATGTGAACAAGCATTTGAATATTAGGGAATTTGATTTCCTTTTTCTACAGCCAAGATCTCTTTGCAAATTCTTTTTTCCTCTGGACAGCCCCTCTGAACAGGGTATTAAAGAATGGCAAGGGTCAAAAAATCAGCAAAGAAAAGAAGAAGGGGAAAAAGAAAAAGAAAATGAGAAGTGAGAAGAACCTGCACACACCCAGACCGATGTTTATCAGTGGAGATAATTAAGGATGTGAACAAGCATTTGAATATTAGGGAATTTGATTTCCTTTTTCTACAGCCAAGATCTCTTTGCAAATTCTTTATTCCTCTGGACAGCCCCTCTGAACAGGGTATTAAAGAATGGCAAGGGTCAAAAAATCAGCAAAGAAAAAAAGGGGAAAAAGAAAAAGAAAAAGAGAAGTGAGAGGAACCTGCACACACACAGACCGATGTTTATGAGTGGAGATACACATGAAGGTTTGTTATAGATGTACAGAAATACTAGATATCTAACCTCAAAAAACACAGATGGCTACTCAGAGAAAAAAAAAAAAGTAATAATAGACTCAAAACTGACAAAGAAATTATTTGGTTGTACCATCAGTAACCAGGAGCTTTTGGTCTTACTCAAACCAGGACTTTGGGAAGGCACAAAAATGACTTGGGCAGTCCTGTCAGCAAGCTCTTCTCAAACTGGGGAGGCACAGGAGGTATTCCTGAGGAAGAGAGAGCTCAAAACTCTGAGGTTTAACACCCAGGCTCTTGCCTTCCTCTTCCTCGTCACCTCCTCCCTCAATCACCCACTGGAACTGCAAGAAGATTAATTTGACAAGGAAGAACTGATCCTCCAAAGGATTTAATTACAACACAGACTCTGTAGAAGGGCCATGGCTCTGGCTAGTGCTGAGGACACTGGCTAAAACACCTACACATCCAGAAGGTCCAAGGGTTTGAGGTATCTCCACTGTCTGGGGACAGGGCCACCACTGCTAGAGCTAAAGGTACAACAGTGACTGACACCACACACAGAGCATGGAAACCACACAAACCCATCGTGGCTGTTTCTGGGCTTCAATCAACAGGTTTGGAATCCAGACTGAGAATTTGGGGAGCATCATGTTATCCCATGTCTGCTTACCAGAGGGCTCCCACTGCCTCTGAAGCATTCTGCATGGGCTAGTGCCCACAATGACCCATCACTCCTTGACAGACTAACTGAAACAGGGGCCTCATCCAGCACAGAAATATTTAAGACTCAGACACTTGTAAACATCATAAAAAGTCCTGCTGACTACTCAGGGTAGTGAAATTAATATCTACTGTAATAGAAAAACTCTTCCCTTATTAACGAGATGGGTTTCCAAAGGCTCACAAAAAACAATTTACAACTTAAGAGCATTTTACTGGACAACACACTGCATTGCCCAGATGCCAAACACTGACTCCTGGGATGCACCAGGGGAAGAAGGGCAGGGAACTGCATCTGCTCTGCCAGCCAGAACACCTTCCACTGGACCAGACACTGGCAATGTCCTGTAAATGTCTTCCAGAATTGGATTCCAGGACAAATCTATGACTCACCAGATATTATGAGTGTTATGACCCTGACCTTTGGTCTGGCATGGTACTGCCCAATAAAATAACTCTTCAAAGGCCATTTGCAAAAAGCTACAACTAACAGAGAGATAGGCTGTGATTAATCCAAAATTGAACTACTGACTTTTTTTCCCTCAAGCATATGGGGTTTTGGTGTTTTTTAAAATTACAGGTTAAAAAAACCCTTTACAACAGCCAAGTTCAGGCAGGGACACCTTCTAACAGCAATTCTAATGATACAAGGAGTTCATGCCTTATTTTAATGCTAAGGATATATTCACCACCTATTAAATCCAGCCAGCAAAAGAGAATCATGGCCAAAACAGTTTTCTTCCAAAACTAATAATTTTTCTGTTTTCAAATGTGCACTGCTTCAGGGATCAAAGAATCTCTTCTCTCCTTCCTCACCCCCACACATACAAGGCAACTCCTCTCACTTGAACTGACAGAGGAAACAACTTGCACGTGAAAGATTAATACAGAATATAAAATCTGAATTTACACACTCAGAAACACAACACAACAGCTAAGAAACACTTCAAACAACTACAGCATTCCAGAAAAAGCAGAGTGACTTTGGGATAAATCTCCTGGGGAAGGAGGAGGAGCTTCGGTGGAACATGAAGTTTCTGCATTGGGTAAATCCAGGTCAGGTATCTTCAGAGACTCAGAGCAGATTTCTCTTTGTCCTAGTGGCTTTGCTGACCAGTGTTTACTTGGTTTGCTAACTCGCCTAATTAGGCAGAAGCAGAAACCAAAAACTGGATGGGTGCAGGCTGGTGAGATACTTCACATTCTGAAGCAGAGACAGTCCACGCCAGAGAGCGACTACACTAAATTATCAAGTTTCAGCCTCCCTTTTAAAGCATTCCTCTTTGTCTCCAAAAACAACCTATAATTACTTCCTCACTGTATCTGGTTTTATGGTCAAAATATCTGATAGAAGGCTCGGGGGGTGGGGTTGTGTAATTCCCAACGCTGCAAGTTCTGGTGGCCTCAGGGTTTTCTTTAAGCACAGAAACCCAAACCAAACAAAGGAACCACTGATGTTTCTGGTTTTCAAACAATGCGAAATAAAATCAGCATATTATCCTAAAAGAAATATGAGTATTCTTTCAGTCCTCATGCAGAACCCTTCCCCCATTCTACAGGAACGCTACAGAACTGAAGCAGCAACTATGACAATCATAAAAGGTATTTAAAATATTTCATAGGTAAACATTA